AACCACCCCCATCCCCACCCACCCCACATTTAAAGGTCACATGGTGCAATGTCGTCGCAGCTGCATACGAGGAAAAAAAGGAAAACCCAAAGCAACAGCAGCAGCAACAGCAGCAGCAGGGAAAGCACTAGAAAGAAATGAAAACCCAACAAAGTGTCGCCCACAACGGACATTTCACCACCACCCAAGCACACCCACAACCCCACCCACCCTCACCACCCAGTGCCACCCATCATTACCCCCTTTTTGGGCCAAGTTGGTCAAACTTTTCGTTGCTGCGACGCAATTGGAAAACATATTCATGCAATCATCAATTGCGCTTCAAGAAAATGCTCGAAGAGCACCGCTAGAAAGGGAAAACTACGCGAGGCCTTGCAAAAGGGTTGACTTCGAGATACCCTATAATATTTATTACTGACTTTTAATATTAGTATTCCGTCAGGCTGTTTCCTGCGAGTATTTTTAATGAATAATAATCAAGACTTTCCTTGATCTAATATTTAGTTTATTATATATTGATTATTCAGTTTTTATAAGCCAAACTCCACTTTCTTTTGTGCTTCAGTTTACAGGGTATTCATAAATGAATATTTTATTTGAATTAGATTCCTCAGCCTAATTAATAATGAGGCACATTTCACAATTAATTATTATTTATTTATAAATTCAAAACAACAGAAAGAAAAGAGACACGAATGAATTTTTTTCATTTAGTTTGGTTAGTTTGATGCCCCAATTCCTGGGTTCCTCAGTAGCAAGTTCCCACGGAATAATATACCATTTTCAGATTTCATATTCCGTTTTTTTGTGCCCAAGATTTTCCTCATTTTCTTTATTAGCAGGAGATTTGCAGTAATCGATTGGCACTTATCGAAGTTATCGATTTCCCATAATATATATTTGAAGTCTTTATCTATCAGTTGGAATATATACCCCTTTATAAAAAGCTGCTATATATTTGAGTTCTGCAATTGATTGGTAAAACTCCCGAGAAGCGTATATAAAAGTTCGGCGCCAATTGGCGCCTCTGGCGATTATTTATTGTATCAGCCGCGTAATATCTCTCGATACGCCCACAGGTCGTCCATATATATATATATAGAGACAGACATAGTCTGGTTGTGGCAAAAGTTACGTTGCGTTTAGAATTTATTAATGCACAGTTGTAATTGTGTATTTTTTAATTGACCGTTGCGAATTCGTTTGGCGCCAATTTGATTTTCACGCCGCCTGGCGCCAAACTCACAATTCGAAATTGAAAGCTGGCTTCAGATGGACTCAATGCAACTTTTTTCTCTCCCTCTCTCTCTCTCTCTCTAATAATTGGATTATTTTGTTAGTCAAACAAAATCTATGCTCAAATTTAAGCCAACAAATTTTCTTTCATGTTATCAATTATATTTGCAACAATTCATATTCAATTGCATATGAAAAATCTCTCTGAATAAGCATAAAAGAGGCAAATAGAATCCACTTTCCAATGTGGATCCTAGTCATATGCACGCCATTTTGAATTTCGTAAGAAATTATACTCTGTTAGACGCACACGACCGATCAGAAGAGCAATCGCACACAGACTAAATGCACTCATTGATCCCATCCCATTCGCTAGGCCGGCGAATAGTCACTCATGGCAAAGTAACGGGATCAAAAGGATTATGACGATCGGATTGTAAGAGAGCGGAGAGCAAGTGAGCTTTCACACCTTCCATTGCGCTCACTCTCCCACTTGCTCTCACTCTGCAATGGAAATACGCAGCGAATGTGGAAGGATCGAAAGCAAATGCCGTTAAAGGTGTCTCTGCAGTAAACCTTTCTTAATTCCCCTTCCCCATCTTCCTCTCTCTCTCTCACTAACTTAATTAGATCAGTGTTGGCCATTTAGCTTTTTTCGACTTGTCTGGCCTGTTTTAAATTATTTGCTCACAAAACAAACTAAACGTTTTAATGTTTTATTACATATTAGCAGTTCTCGGAAAAAATCAGCTTTGCAACAGTCGATTTGTGCATACATTAAGCATTTTAAACTTGAACTGGTAGACAAAAATTAAACTTTATTTGACCTTCGACCTTTAGCGAGGCAATAAACATTTTTGAATCGTTTATATGTCTATTATTAGTTAAATGCTCTGAATACTATGGGTAAATTCGACTAAAAACTATGAAATACTTGTTTCTTACGCTTTCACTGGCCAAAAATTGTGAGAAAAAAAAACAAAAACACAACAAAAATAGAAAAAATAGACGAAAAAAATATTCAATCATAATTAACTTAGCCATTTGGTGTCGAGGGTCAAAACGTGTTGTGCTCATGGGGCACATTTATTAATGGGCTAAACTTAGTGACAACTAAATGAGTGTTGTGCGTACAATTGAGTCACAACAAAAACAACAACAAAAACAAAACAAAAAACAGCTAAAAGCTGAAACTCTTAACCGGTTTTGCTTTTTTTTTCTTTCGCGAGAGAGAGAAAGAGGCGGGGGAACTGCCAATTAAACGGAACAGGTGAACAAAGTGATCAGCGATACGAGATGTGATCTCTATGGACCCAAGGCCTACAAAAAAATGAAAAAAAAAAAGCTGAAAAAAAAAACTGTTCAAATATGCGCCGTTCATTTATCAAGTTTAAAAAAATTCGCGCTAATGATTCGGGGAATGTGGAGAAGTCATCTTCTTCTCCGATTTTTGAGATATTGTTGTTTTATGCTAAACCACAGAGAAGAAGAAGAGGAAAACTGTTTATATATACTCCAAAAGTTAAACGTTGACTTTGGTTGCGCCCGATTTTTATGCAAATCTCTATTTCGATTAAAATTTTCGAGCTCTTTTTTCTCATCAGGCCCGGCGACATTGTGTCTCGTCTTGTTGCCCATTAAAAATGCTAATTTCCCACAAATATTTTTGCCAATAAAATTTAAAAAATAACAACCATCTTTTGGTTTTTTTTTTTTTGTGTTTTGTTTGCTCATTAACAAATGAATTAGCCAAAAAAAAAAAAACCAAAAACAAAAATGTCTTTAGCAACCAATATTTAAATAAAATTCCCCCTTTACTGAAAACCACCTGAACTTTGAGAAAATCCAGCAAAACTACTTTAAATTTAGTTATACAATAAAAAACGAAAGACTATAAAACTTAAATAGTAATAAATGAAATAAAGCCGCAAATTAATTTTATTAAGTCTTCTCGGGACTCAAATTTCTAGCATATATCGATTACAATATCGATTTAATTAGTCGTAGTTTTTATTGATTTTTATTTTTCGTTTTTTTTTGTTGTTTGTGTTTAAAAAACAAGTGAAAGTTGTCGAGAATTTGACGGTTCATAATTTTTCATCAGCTATCAACTTTTAAGCTTTTCTGTACATATTTTCGCAGCACTGCCACATAACTGTTGTGTATTACAGTTGTTGTTGTTGTTGTGACCTCATCAATTGCAATTGTCTATTGACTATTTTTAGTAGCACTCTAAATTTTAGTGGTATTTTTGTGGACTCTATCTTATCTTCTGCACATTAATAAGTATTATTTTTAGCTAGATTATCGGTTTGCCAAGTTGTGTTCTCCACCAAAAAAATAAAAAATTCCGCTAGAAATTTCTATTTAAAATATAATAATAATAATAACTGAAAAAAAAATGCAACACGAACAAAACAACTAAAACAGAGAGCAAAAAGCATAAAGCGGCCCAGAAATGCGCTAGTGACGAAACGATGCTGACGTTGACGCCGACTGCGACGCTGACTACGACTGCGACTGCGACGCAAGCTGCTCGCAACTCGAGCGCAGGCTGCAATGAATGCCCTCGCCTCAAACGTAGCTTCCCCTTAAATTTAATGTTTTGTTTTCGCTGCGTCTCGCTCGCACTCACTGGCAGCGCATGCATGCGCTCTCGCTTCACAGCGTGTTCGACTTCCGTTCGTTTTGTAGTAAAAACGTAAACGAGAGCAACAGCAGCAGCGACGGCAGATAGACAAGTGAATTTCTACACACACACACACACAAGCGCATACACAACGTATGAACGAAAAATGCGCGCGCTTTGCACACACATGAAATGGAAACCAAAATAAGGAACGTTCTGGCAACGAAACACTCTCGCGCTCTCTTTCTCTCTCATTTTGTCAGTCTCTTTGGCTCTGCGAGTGAATTGTGGAGCGTGTTTGTGTGTGGAACGCATTGCCGTCTCCCACAAAATGAACGCAAGCTACAAGAGGCGATCACAAACACAAATAGTTTAAATTCCACTTGGGCATTTAATTGAGGAAAGCGAACAAAATCCAAAAATACTCAAAAAAAAAAAATAATAATCAGACTCAAACAAAGCTCAAGAGACCAAAAAAATAATAATCTGAGTCACGGTTTTTCCATACCGCTGACGAAATTCTTGTTTACCAATGAAAAAATCTCAGCAGATAAAAATGCATAACAAATGCGTCAGCTTGCTTTAAATAATCCAACTGTTATTTCATATGCAAAAACAGAAATACAAAAATAACGGTAAACTCATTGATTTTGTGTTTGTGGGAGGGGAAATTCCAAGCAGCTCTGTCGCTGCGCTGCTTGACCTCTGCTAACGATTGGAATTTGGATATTATTCCCCATTTCCCATTGTCGTTGCTTCTTCATTGCGTGCGATCAGCACTCCTAACGGTGCCTGACAATAGCATCCACTCCTTTGGCGCCGGCGTTGACTCTCAATTCTGAGACAGTTGCACTCACACACACACACATAAATGAGTGCAAGGAGCTATGGACTCTATTTCAAATGCATTGCAACTGAGTAGAAGTCATGAAGTGGTGTTGGTGCTGGTGGTAGCCCACAGGCCAGACTGCTTCTGCTTGCACTGCAATGTGGAATCGGAACACTCAGTTCATTGCTATTCGTTGCGACGCTGCTATGCTCTGCTCTGCTCTTGTGTTTCACATGCCAAGTGTTTAACTGCTGTCTGTTGTGGTTTACTTGGTAGCCTCTTGCCAGAGCTCTTTCAGTTCCATTTGAAACTTTTTACCGTTTGGTTGGGAGCGCGCATCGCGGCACATTTAACACAATTTATATCGCCTAGGCCGATGTTTCACTTTTTGGTTGTTTTCTTTCGCCACCAATAAATTACATCGAGTTTTTCTGCTTCTGTTTTTCGAGCGCGCGCCAAACTTGTAAAGGAATATAAGGAATAAAAACAAAAAAAAAAGACAATTTTCTCGTCGTGTTTTTCTTTTGTCTCTAACTGTGAATGGTAACTGTAAAGTGTCAGTGTTTTTGTTTGTGTGTGTGCGAAGACAGCACAACAAGAAATCGCAACAGCCACAAACAACTGTAACAATTATTAATGCCAACTAAAAACTCCAATTAAAAAAGAAAAAAAAAATTACATTTGGAAAAATATTCCAATTTGTCTGTGTGTGTCTGTGTTCAGATCGGGATCGGGATCGCAGCAAATGCCCCCCAGCACCCAACAGCCACCCACTCGACAACAACAACAACAACGGCCTACTCATGAAATGCAAAAGTTGGTCCAATAAAATCAACAATTTTGTTGTGCGAAGAATAAAATTCATAAAGGTAAATATTAAAAAACAATAATGATTATAATTTAAGGAGAATACTTCAATTCTTTAATTTGTCAAATTAGAAAAGAAAAACTTTATTTAAAAAAACAAGTAACAATTATTTTAACAAAATTAAAAAATATTTTTAAAAAATAATACAAGTCTAATAAAAACTTATTTCAAAAAATATATAAAGTATAACTATTTTTTTTTTTTTTTTTTTTAAGTGTAAAACAATTCAAATTATTTTAAACACTTTAACCCGTTTTAAAAGTTGTAACTGAATTAATAAAGATAATAAAATTTGTTATATAAAATATTAATATACAAATAAAAACAGTAACAATTTGAACTAATTATTTTTAACAATCTCAAAAGATTAAATGTTATTTCTTATTAAGAAAATAAATCACATAAAGTTTAAGTCCATTTGTGAACATTTTGAATATGGATAATAATTCTGCTAATTAATAAAAGTACTTAACAAATAAATTGTCCTTATTTTAATGAGGAGTTTATTTAAACTTTGAAAAATTAAGCAAATTATTTTTTCATAAATTTTAAAATACAATAAATTGATATAACTTCTCTTAAAAAAGTAATTTGAACATAATTTTTTACGATTCAAACCTAAGAAAAACAGGACTAAAACAAATTAAAGAAATTTCGAAAGCAACAAAGAGATAATTAATGCAGTCAAGTGCGTATTACTTGAATTTAATAGACAAAAGTGCGCAAAAAATGGTCAATTTGTTGTTGTTAGACTTGGCAATTGTTTTAAACAAAACACAAAAAAAACAAATTGCAATTAAATTGTATTTATTTTTGCTTCTCTTTTTGTGGCAGCTGTTTTTGTTATTTCACTTTTCTTTATTGACAATTAAAATAAGCAGCAGGCAGTAAAAACAATAACAAACAACAACAATAACAAAAAACAAGCGAAGCAACAACTAAATAATAAATCAATTTATTTATTTATTTCATTTTCACTCCGTAATCAGCCTCTCTCTCCCTCTTCCTCTCTGTCAGTCCCTCTTCCACTTTTACACCCTCTCCAGCTTCCCGCTGTCCCACTCCCACTTTGTTTCCTTTTGCGCCTTTCACTTGTGCATGTCTCACACACACACACAAATGCATATTTTATAATATTTATTTACATTGACGTTGACGTCGCTGTAGCCGTTGGCGTTAGCGTCGCAGCCGCGCCCGCCATTTGTTTTGTTTACTACAGCCTTTTCTCTCTCTCTCTCTCTCTGTTGTTGTTGTTAGCGTTATTATTGTCTCTTGTTTGTGTCTTGTCTTTTGCCTTCGTTTTCGTTTCACACACACGACACACACAACTTACGTTTATGCATGAATTTTGTTTTGTTCGCCGCTTCCTTGTCCTTGTCACCCGTCTCTCTTCTTCTTTTCCGTTCGTCTTCTACTTCTCCCCATACACATGTACATTTTGTGCCTTCGTGTTTTTCCACCCGACTTTTGTGTTGTTTATTTTTACGCGCTCTCTTGTGGGCTACAAATTCTTGAAATTCTTTTTCTTGTTTTTTGTTTTGTATGTTTCGAACGCCGCACATTTTTCCAGCGGGAAAAACGAGTTTTTCCAGGCAACAGCGCATGCATTCTTCTTCTTGCTTGTTTACAGTTAGGAATGCGGGTGCCTCTTTTTAAATGCGAAGAAAAAAGAGCAACGCGACGCAAAACAAAGCGCGCTCTCTCTATCTCACTCAACCTGTGTGTGGATTCGTTGTTTTGTTGTGGACAGCATTATTTGTTGGGGAAGGAGGGTGTAATGTTGTGTGGATTCCATTTGTGGTGTCTGTTTGGAAAACCTAGACCAATATACATAATATGTACAACAATTACAATTACTCTCTCTCTCGCGCGCGCTCTCTTACTAAAATCTCTGCTCGTCGTCGTCGGCTCTCGCTCACGACGACCGACCTGGCGCACAACTTGTTCGCCTTGTAAAAAATTGAAGGCGCCAGCCGAACAACAATAACAACCACAGCTACTACAATATCTCATAGAGCGGCGACTGCGCTGCTTTGGCCCCATTATGAACATAACATTGCCTCGGCTCGCTCTCGCTCTCTTTGTCGGTCGTCGTCGTGGTCTTTCGTTGCTCTCTCGTGTGCTGCTGCTGCTGCTGTTAGCTTGGGGCTCACTTCATTTTGTGCTTTTTCACTTCTGATTAGTTTTTGTGGCGCTTTGAAACCGGACGTTTCGTTTCATTTTTGTGCACGCGTTTCGCTCAAAAAACCCAAACCAAGCAACACACACACACACATGCGAAACGCCCCATAGTTGTTGTGTATGTGTATATGTATAAGTATTTGTGCTCTCCTGCTCTCAGTGCGATTAAATAATACTCCACAAAAGGCCAAACAAATTACATAAAAATCAAAAGAGGAAGAAGAAGAAGCAACAGCAGCAGCAGCAATAGTAGTGTTCTCATTGCATAAATTTTGTTGTGTTTGTGTTTTCGTTTTGCCTTTCTCGTCTAGTTCTAAATTCGTCTAAAACGAATACAAAAAAAGAGTTCCTAAATACAACAACAACAACAAGAAACGTAATCGTTTTTTTGTTTTTTTTTCGATTGTGTTCTTCGTCGTCGTCGCCGTCGTTTTTTCCTGTTCCTGCTCCGTTCGCTTTGTTTTTTCGTGGAAATTTTTTGCCTAGCCAAAATACATACATACAAATTTATTGTGCGTGTTCCGCCTCCTTGTATAATCCACACAAATTTATAAGTGCAAAAAAACAAAATACGTAGGAAAATAAATAAATAAATTGCTGCGAAATTTTTAGTGTAAGCAAATTTCACGACGAGCGCCAAATAAATAAATTAAAACTCACAAACCCCCACACACACACATAATCCCAAATAAAAGAAGAAAAAACAACGAATAAAGAAGAAAAAAAAATACGCGCGCGCATCTTCCTCTTCTTATTTATATTGCGTGCCTGCCTGCCTGCCTGAGACACTCTCAGTGCGTGGCCCATTGGAATTTGTACCGTGAAACGCAATTACAACATATAAAATACACAAACAGAGCGAGCGAGCGCGTTGCGCGCTCCCAACATACAAGCGACGTAAGTGCAAGCAAGATGGAGCGAATCAAAGAGAGCAAGTGAATGTGGAGCAGGAGTTTTTGACAGAGTTGTATTTGTCGTAGTAGTAGTAGTAGAAGAGAGAGCATCGAGCGAGCATGTTCCAATTGGAATTCACAGTTTGCATTTGCATGCTGCTGCTGCTTGCTGATTGTTGTTGTTGTTGCTGTTGTTCTTGTTAGTGTTTGTGTTTGCGTTGTGCATTTTCATTCATAAAGCGCATTTTTTACTACTGCCTGCTCGCCTTTATATACAGTTAGCTTTGTGTGTTTTTTTTCGTTTTGTGTTTTGTTTTTTTTTTCTTATTATTTTTGCTGTGTGAGCGAGCGAGCGGGCGGGCTGTGTGTTTGTTGTCGTCCGTCGCTGTCATTTCGTAAATCCAAATCTTATTGTTTAATTAAAAAAGTAAATTGTATATTTTATTTCTTACGTTTTCTGCGCTTTTGAGAGATACTTTTAACAATAGATTTTGCAATGCAGGTATCGTAACTACAAAATCGTAAATTCTTCCTCAAAACTAATTTGGTTTTACCCAAAACAAAATATAATTTCCCCTTGTGATCATCTGCTCAATAAAATTATGCAAAACATGTCGCAAGAACAACAACAATGCTGAAATACTCTTATTATTATTGCTTGCTCGATCCGCCAACAACAACAACAGCAACAATTTGTATCTTTTATTGCTAAGAATAGCACAGCAACAAGCGAAACCAAAAAAATTCCTTGCGAATTTTTCCATGTGTGCTTTTTATTAATTTTTCACGCCCACAAACAAAAAGAAAAAAATTAACATGATTGAAGAGGTGGGAGTGTGTTGGGCGGGTGGTGGGAATGATGTGTGATGGTCGATCTTAAATGATGCCATATGTTTTAGATTTCTTGCATTTGGATTGGATTTTCATACAGCTACTTTCGTTGAGCTGCAGCTAAAAGAAACGTTTTTGAATATTTCGTGTATTGTTTTGCTTTTTGGCTTACGTGCTTAGTGCCACGATCCACGTTCTCCATGCAACATTTGCAAACATTTAGTTAGAAATAAACCAGGCATTTATATATTTTGAATTTCTGATTCTATATATCTGTTTAGCTGTTTTCTTGTTATGGTTATTTAATGTTTAAATAAACACTCTTCATATGCATACTTATTCTGTGTATGCACATCTACACTCGGTCACGAAAGTATTTTGACAAAGTGAAAGAATCAAAAAATTCAGCTAATGGCAAAGCTCATTTCTTGAATTGCGAAATTTTAAACAACATTTTCTTTTATCTAGTGCTAAAAAGCCAAATAAATATTAGGAAAATATTAAGAAAATATATATAAAAATAAGAATGAAATGGATAAATATTAATTTTATCCGTTGTCAAATAGTATCTTGACTTGGTGTATATTCAGCTATATTCTTTTGCTGCACCAAAAGAGAGGCGACACCCAATAGACAAACACCTTGTAATACACCCCCCACCCCCTCACCGCCCTCTCACCCCGCTTAAACGTTCCCCTCTCGCCTGCATTTCTAATGCATTTTTTTTTCGTTGTGTTTTTCTTTGGTTTATTTTCCTTCTTTCTTTTCAATTGGTTGCAATTCGCGCTAGACGAGAATTTTTATTTATAAAACCAAATTGAAGACTGAGTGGGTTGGTTATGGGCAAGGGAGGGAGTGGGGGAGGAGGGGTGTCTGTTGAAATGGCGACGAAGCGACAATAAAATAGATTCATTTAAATGTCATTTTTGTCTAGACGACAACGACGACGTCGGATCAGATCGCGATAGAATAGAATATATATAAATTATATATACATATATATATAATATATATATAGATACAAAGATACAGTATATAGGCAAAGTCTGTGGTCATATGTTTTGTGTGTTAAGCACCACGCCCACACCCACAAATAATCGGAGGGGGCACGTTCTCGATTTTTTTCTTGCTCTTTTCTTGTGTGTTTTCCGAAATTTTCCACAATTTTCTTGCACTTTGAAAATTTTGTGGCACCTTGGAAAATGTATTTGTGGGTCAAAAATAATATTTAAATTTTGGTTAAATCAAATGAAAATTTTCAAAGCTCTTCCCAAAAAAAAAAAAAAACACTTTAAAAAACTAAGAAAATCCAAAAATATGCATTTGAATCAGGGGAAATCTTATTTAAAAATAATAAAAAAATTTAAATATATTTTAGAATTACAAGTTTCAAGCAGCGAGTATTGTTGGGTATATTTGATATAGGTAGATATATCTTTATGTATTTTGCAACTAGCGGCTGTTAAAAATTTGGAATTTTTGTTGCCGCCGCGTCGCTTTTGACATTTCCTGTTAACTAGTTGCTGTGTTGCCTGTTTGCCCGTTAGCAGCTACCAATTTTATTACCATTATTTTTATGGCCTTTTGACCAGTTTTGTGTGTTGTTCGCCCCAAAAACACCAAAAAGAAAAAAAGTCGAACATCTTTCGATCTGTGTCTGACGCAGATTGAGGTCCGATTCCAATTCTTTTGTGGCTAATTAGCAAATGAAAGATTCAAATCAAAAACACAAAAATAAATTGTATTTAAATGCTTTTTTATTTATTTGTTGATTTTTTTTATGATTCTGAATAGTTGTGGGCGTGGGGACTGCGCTTTGTGTGTGTGAGTGTGGGCGTGGCAAAAGCTAAATCGTGACGTCAAGAGCAACTTATATGTTAAGTTACCCTGTAAAATGACAAACAGAAATATTAAATAAACACATAAAAAAAAAATAATAAAAATGATCTAAAAACAAATAAATAAGTAAAACTGTTAAACTTTTTCAATATTTTATTTACTGATCGAGCAGTTTAAATACCCTTTTCCCCTTTTTAAGGGGCATCACCAAAAACAATACACAATAAGTAAAGTCTTGAGAAATTCAACCAACAACATTCCAAAGTGTGACGCACTTTATCACAAAAGAAGCAGAAAAAAGCCACAAAAACCAAAAACAACTATTTTCATTGACAAAACAAAAGAGAGAAAAATAGAGAAACTGATACAGCGAGAAGGAGAGAGAGAGAGAGAGAAGACGTTTAAGCTTTTTGTTGCCATTGTTGTTGTTGTTTGTTGCCTAGCATGAAAACTATGTGTGTTACACCTGCTTCTCACATTTTTTGATTTTATTTTATTTTTGGGAATTTCCCATTGAAAAAGCTTATCTTTTAGCATAAATTATGGGTATCTGGATTTTTATGTTTTGGGTTTTTCCCCCACAAGACGAGAAAATTTCAAAATTGTTTTAAGCTAAATAATAAAAATCAATATAGAATTAATGTGGAAATAATGAATTGTAGAAATTCACTGAATTTATTTATTTTTGTTTTTGTAGCCTTCATTATAAAAACGACTTTGAATTCCAGTAAAAAAAATTCACATTTCGCTACTTGCCATAAAATAAACAAAGCAGTCGAAAAGTGAATACTCTATAAATCAAATAACAATTGAATAGAAATTTCTGCAAGAGTCTTCAAGTTAAAATACATTTTTAAAAAATGTTGCTTTGTGTGTTTGCTGGTTGCTTGTTGTGGAAGCCTGGTTCCATTTTTCCATTTGTGAATTTTGTGACTTAAATTAACTGCCGCTTGTCTTTGACTTTCATTGACGCATTTGCTCACCTTGTTTTTATTTAAATTTGTTTGCTGGTTTTATTTGAGTTTTTTCCTTTGTTGTGTTTTATATTTATTTTTATATATTTTTTTCTTTTTTTATTTTTATTTTTCTGCATGCGTTTTGCATAATTTGATAATTTTGCGTTTTTACGACACACACACAATAAATAATAAAAAAAAACCCCAAGCAAATCAGTTCCCCCCTCCAAAGCATAACAAAAAACAATTTCTAATGCTCAGTTCTTAATAGTAAAACTGTGTAAGCAAGGTGGCAATGAACTTTAATATATTTTTATGCTCAAGTCCTTGAACCCGGAAAAAACTAACTGCCAAAAACAATAGCAACTAGCCAAAACAAGATAGCAGCAATTAAAAGCGCATTGGTGCAAGCGAGACAGCGCTATCTGAACTTGACGTCAATGGCGGCCATAAGCAGCACATAAAGCATAGGCCTCAAAAAATGAAAAAAAAAAAAAAAAACGCCAACAACAACAACAGCAGTACAAAAAGCTACTTGTCTCTGTCTGTCTGGTTTGCTGTGGCCGTTTAAGTTCTGTCGGCTGCTGCCTTTTGTGGACCTGTTTCTTGGTTCTCTTCCAAGTTCCGCTTCTGCGCGGCCGTCGTTGACTTTGTCTCTGTTATTGTTTTGACTTTGTTTTTGTGTTGCGTCTTTTGCCTTGCTCAGTTTGCTGCGACTGCGCGCATTTTAATTTATTGCGTTTTCGAATTTACGTTCGTTACACACGCACGCACGCACACACACGCATACGCACACGCACACAAGTGATCTCTCTTATAAGCATTGATTGAAAACGCTCTCACACTTTTTCTCTCTCCCGTTCTCTTTACAGAATAACGGTACACAGCAGTTGCAATCGCCAAGCAGCGCAGCTAGCATCGCAGCTGCCGCCGCCGTTGTCGTCTCTGCCTCGAGCAGCAGCGCAACCGCCACCAACAACAGCAGCAGCATTGAACATCACCAACAACAACAACAAGTGAACAACATTGCTGCACCCGCAACAGCAACTGCAGCAACAATAACTACAACAGCGGCAACAATGCCGGCAATGCCAAAAGAAAAAGCAACAACTGCCGTCTCCTTAAGCGAATCAAATTTCCCGGCACTGAAATTCAAAGAGTATAACGTTGCTGTCGGCGCAATGGCAACGACTGCAACGCGTATGCAACAACAGCAACAGCAGCAACACACATGTGGCTGTGGCGCCGCATCGGCAACATCAGCAACAAACACAGAGAACAACAATAATAATAATAACAACAACAGCAACAACAGTCGCTACAGCAGACCGAGCAACATGTATCTGACAAACGGTAAGCAACAAAATACGCAAAATAAAAACATTTAGCAACAAGTTGCTAAGCGCTCTCTCTCCCTCTTTCTCACGCAGGCTTCACATCCCCACTGGCAGCAGCTGTAGCCAGCAACAACAGTTCATCAGTCGTCTCAACGCCGCAGCGTATCACAATGTGCTGTCGCGAATCGCCGTTGTATCAACGCCAGCTACAACAACAACAGCAGCAACAACAACAGCAACATCATCATCATCAGCAGCAGCAGCAGCAGCATCAGCAACAAAGACAACACCAGCAAAATCATCATCAGCAGCAGCAGCAGCAACAACAAGAACAACAACAGCAAACGTCATCAACACCGCCAGCCCAGCAACAACAAGTACAGCAACAAACGCCGCCGCCTCGAAGGTCACCAACCGATTTCTTCTTTGGCCGTTATATTGGCGAGGGCAGCTTTAGCATGGTTTACCTGGCAGTCGATATTCACTCGCGGCGCGAGTATGCAAGTGAGTACCGTACACCAATATCCAATACAACTGTACTTTCCAGTGGGAACTTAAACTGTAATTGTAACCGTAAATTTAGCAGAATTTATGGGGAGTAATTTAAATACATTATGCAAAAACAAAAAAACACTAATAATTATTTACATATTCAATTCACCTTTGCTCTAATTTTTATAAACTACCCCCGCCCCCTTGGCATTTGTGTGGCTGCTGCTATTTGCTGTTTGTATGGCGCCAGGCGACAAATAGTAAAGAAATGCGGACGACGTCGGCGGCGACAGCGGCGCCAACGCCAACGCAAAAGCAAAAGCAACAACACCGCTGCCAGCAGTCACCTGCTGTTGTGGCTGCTGCCAACAAATCAAAATACGCACAAACACACACACACACAAACTGAAACTGAAACCAGCTGTTACTTGTTGCTAATGAAAACGTTTGCCTTTGTCGGGTGGGTGGACAGACGAACGCATGCAAAAAGAAAGAAAAACGAAACAGTTATATATGTGTGTGTGTGCATTAAATAAATAAAAGTGAAATGAATTGTCAGTTGACAACAGCCAGACAGACAATGCGAGAGCGAGAGGGCAAGAGAGATTCATTTCAAGATGCTGCCGCAACAATTTAATTAGTTGTCACCTCTCCTTTTCATTCTCTCTGCCTTGCTGTCTGTCTAGTTCATCACGCGGCAATCACGTGAGCAGATTTCAAGTTTGTGTTTCTTTTTCTCTTTTTAATTTTGGGCAGCTGTACGCACATTCATAAATATTCATTTGTATTGGCCAAAAACAAACGAAAAAAACCTAATGGCATTTTTATCTCGCAAGTGGGGTGTGCGGTGGATAACACACACACACAAATATATTTATATATTTATATACATATACAAATACTTTTGACTTTGACGTCTTTTGATAATCAAGACATCAACAACATAAGCGCTCTCGCTCTCACTCTATATTTCGCCATCTCTCTCTCTCTCTCTCTATCTCGCTGATGCGATAACGCCTGACGACCGCACGCAATTGACGACAATTTTTCTTCATTGTTTTGTAGTTTGTTTTTGTTTGTTTATCGATTGAAATAAAAACAAAAACAAAAAAGCTGACGTCGCTCAAGATCAGCTGCTGCTGAGCAGCAGACAGCAGACAGCCACATGATAAATAAAAGCAGCGATAACGCCTCCTTTTCATCTTTCCCCCTCTTTCTCTATTGCTCATTCGAATTTCCATGCGCTTCCATTGAAAACACAAATAACTGTTCTTCTATCTTATGTTTATTATTTGTGCTAAGCCAATTTGCTTTTGCAGCCAACAGCAACAACAATAACAGCAAATGCAAATTAGCAGCAGAATGAAAACAACGGTAAATCAATAAACTTGTGGCACGTGTCGCTGCTGCTGCTGTTGCTGCTGTTGCTGCTGCAAATGTGCAATGTGTGCATTTCCATTTTCATACACAAAGCTAAATGCAAAGACAATAAGCAAAAAAAAAAAACAAAAACACGGCGCGTGTCTGCAATAAGCTGCTGCTTTTCTCCTTATTTCTGACTGGCTGATAAAGCACAACAACAGCAAAAATAACAGCAGCAACAACACAACAGCGACAGCAGCAGCATCAGGTGCATGTAAACAACAACAGTGCTGTTAACAGTTAGCTTAGCGCTGCACGCGCAATTCGACTGTTTACTTTGACTGTACATGACAAGAGAGTGACGGAGGGGAGAGACAGAGAGAGAGAGCGCAGCGAGTGTAAGGGAGAAGTGCATTAAATAACAAAGAGAGCAAGTTTGTTGTTCTTGTTTTTGCTGCTTATTATTGACATATGCAGGCGTGCACATTTCGTGTAGTCTGTTTTAAAAATAGAACACAAGAATAACAACAAGCGACGGCGGATGAGCAACAGCTGCGTCTGCTGCTGCTAATCGCATATCTATTCTACTCGCTCGCTCGCTCGCACTACTGGAAATTAACATTTTCATTTGAAATGACTTGACACTTTTGTTTACTGTTTACTACAAACACACACACATGTGCAAATAACAATAAATTATTGTAAAAACATTGAAGTCGACTTTTTTGAAGGTCAACATGTGTTGTACTTTTTTTTCTTTTTGAAGACCACCCAGCCAGGATTTGATTGCTATATATGTTTTGTTTTATTGGCACACATTTTCCACTTTGTCCATATTATTATTCTTATTGAAGCAATAAACGAGCGCAATACGTTTTGAACTCGTCTTGTTTTTGTTTTTAATTAGCTTATAAACATTTTATGGCACTTATGTCTGGCAACATGTTGCCAACGGTTGTTATACGCCCACTTCACGCTCTCTCTCTCACTCCCTCTCCCTCCCTATTCAACTCCCTCACACTACTCACGATGAACGCAGCAAAATTTCGTTTTCATTTGGTTTTTTTTTTTTTGTCGTGTGCATGGTGAGGTGAGCGATTCTCACTTACACACACACAGTGTGCTTGTGTTTGTGAATTTGTGTTGCTACGCATTGCCCAAATTACTGTTGTTATTGTTGTTGTGCGGCGTCTGTTTGACGCGTTACGCAAATTCCTTTTACGCATTTTCACATTGTCTGCTTTTGCCTATTCCATCATTCCTCGCAAATCGCCTGCGTGTGCCTGGCTGTGTGTGTGCGTGTTGGGTTTTTGTGTATAATTTGTGTTGTTGCTGGGTAGCAGCAGCAGCAGCTGTGTAGCAGTTTTTCCGCGCATACTTATTTTTTCTGCTACCTGAGAAATTTGTGCACAACAACAACACGTGCTGCCAATGCTGAGCAGCAGCTGCTGGTGTTGCTGCTTCACCCACGCAATGTTTTCAACTTTGAACTGCAACTTGTTGCTGGAACGCATTGGCAATGGCACATATAACACAACTCATCTCACGATCGGCCGTTGAACTGTTCTCTCTCTCTGCTACTACTGCTGCTGCTGTTGCTGTTTCCCTTCTAGACGTTCCCATATTCCACTGGAGTACACACATGCACACACACATACATGCATACAGATATTTTTTCCCACACGTCGATTTTTGGCCACTGAACTTTCAAAAATCGTTAAACACACACTTAAATGCTTGTCTGTCCGTCTTTCTGTCTGTCTGTCTTCGTTTTTGCTCCTTTTTCTTTCATTCTTTTTCTACCTATGCTTCGTGTGTTATTTTTAATTACAGCAGCGAGCAGCAGCTGCTGCTGCGCAGTCGCAGCTGTCTGGCAGGGTATTTAACCTCTCTCGTCTCTCGTTCTTCCCCTCTCTATCTATCTCGCTCTTTCTCTCTCTGTTGGTCTGTAACATAATATTGATGAATTTGGGTCATTCAACCCAATAAAAACGGATCCTTTTCGTATATTCCTTAATTCTTTGGCTGATTCATAGCCATATTTTTATAAATATATATTTTTTTTGCACCTGCGCTTATAATTTTTTTATGTGTTAGTTGCAGCTGTTGTTTTTTTTTTTTGGGGAGCTGAAAGAGGCACGTGGCAAGGCCAGTTGCTACACGTCCTCCCCCACCCCCTTTTCTATGCGCTGGTTTTATGAGCAAATTAAGCCGCGCCAGGAAGTCGGGAAAGATGCCGTTGTTCCTTAAGCTTTGGCCTTGTTTTTATTATTACTCCCAACACACACACACACACACACATGTGTGTGTGGGGGTGAGAGAGATGGCGTTTTGTCTCTTTTTGCTCACTTGTTGTGCATATTGTCGTTTATTTAACAACCCATTTTTCACAGTAAAAAAAAACAAAAAAACAAACTACCAAAAATCCTTTGCGTGCCGTCAATATGTCGCTTTCCCTCTCCTCCCCCTCCCTCCCATCTGGCAAACACACACACACATCCCATAAGGGCAATAAACTTTTGGTCTAACAGGCAGCAAGCAACAACAACAACAATAATAATAAAAAAAAAAGGAGGCGCACTCAAAATTTTGTTATGACTCAGTTTGTCCCGTTCTACCTCGCTCTCAGCTTGTTCCCATGTTCCACATAAGCATTCCCATTCCACCTTTCCACTAAACACACAGTGCTTACCTGTGTCTGTGTGTGTGTGAGTCTGCCTGTGTTGTTCTTGTTGTTGCTGTCATAATCTGTTTGGTTTTTCGGTGACATATTTAAATGAGTTTCAAAAGCGAAACAACGTCAAGTTACGTCATTATGAAGAGAGAGAGAGAGAGAGAGAGAGAGAGAGAGAGAGAGAGAGAGAGAGAGAGAGCAAAAGAAGGAAGTGCCGGCGAAGGAGGATGAAGAACAGACGCCGTTGCCGCCAATGTTCTTTGCCAATTTTGGGTGGACGGCAGTCGTCTCTAATTAATGAAATTGAAATGTTTTGCGAAACAATGCGAAATGGCACAAAACACAAACACACACACACACACAACACACACACATAAATTGTGTTCTTGCAATGGGCTTTCCTCTTCTTCATTTTATAACAATTTTTGTCAGTTTAATGTCAATTTTGTCGTGTGCCAAAAAGGCAACCGGTAACAATAAATAAAGCGAATAAAAAAGCAACGAAAAAAAAACTGGCCATAAAAGTCGCGTGGGTCGCATTGGAGTCGTTGTTGTTGCGGTTTGTTGCTTCGTCATGCGTTGTTTTATCTGACACTGCTCTGGCAATCAGTTTTATTGCCAGGTCAGAAATCGTTTCCAGGAAAAACAAGAAAATTTTCCATTGCGACAAAAAAAGAAATGTATATAAATAAAATCCCTAAAATGCATTGCTCCCCTTTGGAATATGCTTCAACTTGTGGGAAAAGTTTCTCCTTTGCGATCTTTATGCTCGGTTGCACTCTCTCCCTCGCTCTCCTTATTGCTCTCTCATTCTCGGTTCAAACACCTCAATTGACTTCCTGTTTATCGCGTGTTCCAATTCCAAAACATACCCAAACGGCCTTGCGCCCAATTAACTAACTATGACTTTTGGCTCTCTCTTTTTCTCTGTGGATGCTGCTGGAATGCAATCCAGCAACATTTGTTGCTGATGATGCAGTACAGTTGTCTATTTTGCTTGGTTTTTTTTTTGTTTTTGGTCATTGTCCTCTTCATCTCCCAACACACACAATGAGTTGTTTGCTGCAGTTTCGTCTTCTGTCTTATTTTTAGAATCGTTCGTAGCAGCAGCAGCAATAACAACTGGTTACAATTGCAATTTATGTACTGCTGTTGTTTGTGTCCCTCTCCCTCTCTAAATCTCTCTCTTTCTCTATCTCTTTGTCTCTCTGTCAAACTCGTTGCACTGCATTCCAATCGAGACGCAACAAGTTGCAATGCGCTCTTAATACTTCTTTAATGCATGTGGCTGAGTGTCTGCATGTGCGTGTGTGTGTGTATGTGTGTGTGCGTGTGGATGTGTATGTGTGTGTGTTTTTGGAATTTATCTCGCTCCTCTCACTCGTCTGGTCTGATCTGGTCTGCTCTGCTCTGTTGATCAGTGAGTGGGGCAAACACTGGAAACTCATATTGGGCAAATATTTATGCTGTGTTATACTTTTGCCAGCTGCGCGCTACATTTGTTGCTGCTGTTGTTGTTGTTGGTGTTGTTTCTATTTACTTATGTGGGTTTCTTCTACTCGTCGTTGTTGATGTTGTTTTTGCACATGCGCCGCCGCCGCCGCCATCAAGTTCAAGGCTGCGCTTTCGTTGTGTTATCAGCGCCGCCGCGTCGGCCGTTAAACCCAAAAAAAAAATTAAAATTATTTATGTTGTTTTTTTTTTTTTTTATAAACCGCAGCTTAACAAATGGCACGCAAAAAATTTAAATAAATAATGCGATGACAGCAGCAACAACAAACAATTGCCAATTAAATAGAAAGAAATGCTCACTTCCAATACGTTCCAATTAATGCAATACTTGGAAAGCGGCAGACAGACGCAAAAAAAAAACTATTGCAAAAATACTATACATACATAGACATAAAAAAAAAAAAAAAAATAGCAAAAAACCAACGGCAAAAAATTTCAAGGTCAATTTTATTTTTACGCACTTTTTTCTTTTTCTTGTTTTGTTTTTTTTTGGCATGGGAAATTTAAAACGCATAAAAAACGCGCCCGTTTTGTTTGTTGTTGCTATTTTATTTGTGTTAATCTTTTAATTGCGGTTGTTTTGTTTTTCTTCTTTTTGGCTTTAACTACACACATGTGTGTGTGTGTGAGAGTGTGTGTGTATTTAGCTGCCACTCGACAGCTTATCGCCCCTGATTTGTTTTCTAGACTATGAAAAAAAACAAAGTTGCGATCTTGATAAAATGGCAAAATAAAACCAAAAAAAAAACGACAAAAAGAAAACAAAAAAAAAGCAATTTAATATTTGTATTTTCTATTGGCCTGCCGCCTATCCACACAATATTTAGTGTAGATATTGTGAGCGTAATTTATTATATTCAACTCTGCGCTGTTTATTCGCAAAATCAACAAATTTGCGTTTTAAGTTTGTGTTGTTGTTTGTAGTGTGTCGAGAAACTTTTTGCAAAATCTCAATTTTTGTTTCTTTTCTGCTATCTTCTTTTGTTGTTTGTGTTATCGTTTCGTGAATTTCCCACGTTCCATCATCTCGTATTGGAAAGGAGACTCGAGTTTATGCATAATTGACGCAAAACGGTGGAAAACTGCCGTTAAGCGGTCATAATTCATAGTGCGAATGAAGGAGCCGTTAACCTCTGTCTGCCTCCCACCCTCTCCCCTTTTTCAAATCATTTCACATTTTTCTCAATAAATAATGTTTCAATGCCAAACAGCTAAGCTTACACACATGTCTACATATGTATGGCTGTGTGTGTGTGTGCAGTTCAACAACCAGTTTAGAATTTCTAAGGGAGCAGCAGCAGCAGAGTAGACAGATACAGAGTAGGTCGCACGGGGGGCTGGAAACAAGTTCCCAAAGCGCGCTCGCTTTCGTTTCTGCTTGCTGTCTTTGCCTGCCTGTTAATTTAGCAATTTGAGCAAAATTCCTTCTTTTTTGCTTGCTTGCTTGCTCTGCTGTCTTGCCTCGCTTCCCTTTTGGCACGTTGTTTGCTGCTCTCTCTCTCTCTCTCTATCTATCTCTCTCTCTCTCTCTCTCGCTCGCGCTCGCCCGCTCTCTTTCTGCATTCATTTCAATAAATCACACAAGGAATATGTATGCCGAATTGAAACGAACAAGATAAAAGAAACACACAACAGGCTTGTATACATACACACAAACAGCAGCATAAAATAAAACGAAATCAAAGCAGGGAGCCGTTGTCGGCACAGGCGACAACAACAAACACAGGCAACTTGTGAGCTTGAGTGTAGCTTTTACGTCTGCGACAACTTTGTCGCCAGTGCAACTAAGCTGAGAGAGCGAGAGAGTAATTCTACGATGTACTCACAAAAGCGACGCTTGCAAATTGTGCGCCCAAGTGCGGCTTACAGTTGTTGACAAATTTGTCGACCGCACCAGAAAAATTGAGCGTGCTTTGATTTTTATTTGCCTTGTACATATGTATATACATATATATATATATATATGTATATATATATATATGTGCGTGTGTATGTGTGTATATGTATTTTAATTATCATTATTTAATGCTGTACATATATTGGAATTTTACAGTTGATTCAAATTTCATTCAAGCTGCTGTTGCCGACTGACTAATCAAATCTCCCTCTCTCTCTCTCTCCCTCTCTCTTCTGCTTACAGTCAAAGTGTGCGAGAAGCGTTTAATACTGCGAGAGCACAAACAGGATTACATAAAGCGAGAGCGCGAAGTGATGCACATGATGACCAATGTGCCCGGCTTCGTGAATCTCTCGTGCACGTTCCAAGACCAGCGTTCCCTCTACTTTGTGATGACATACGCCCGGAAGGGCGACCTCCTGCCCTACATCAACCGCGTCGGTTCCTTCGATGCCGCCTGCACCCGCCACTATGCCGCCGAGCTGCTGCTCGCCTGCGAACACATGCATCGTCGCAACGTTGTCCATCGCGACCTGAAGCCGGAGAACATCCTCTTCGACGAGAATATGCACACGTTGATTGCCGACTTTGGCTCCGCCAAGGTGATGACGCCCCGTGAACGCATTCAGGCGGCAGCAATGCTCGCCAGCAGCAGCAGCGCCTGTGATCATCCAGCTGGTGGACAGCAGCCGCAGCGAAGACGTCAACAGCAGCGGCAATCGGCACGCAGCTCCGACGATGATGATGAGGAGGAGGACAGCGAAGAGTTGGACGATGATCTGTACGATGATGATGATCAGGATGATGTAGATCGTCGATTTGACTATGGCGATGATGATGATGACGATGATAATGTGGATGAGCCCACAACAAGGACGACGACGACATCTTCGGCGGGTGGGGATGTGGATGCAGCCGGTTCGCCGCGCAATCGTCACTTCCGTTATCCCAATATGCGGAGTAGACGTGGCAGCTTTGTGGGCACCGCTCAATATGTGTCACCGGAGGTGCTCCAAAATGCGCCCATCACGCCTGCCGCTGATCTGTGGGCGCTAGGCGTCATTGTCTACCAGATGATCTCGGGATTGCCACCGTTTAGAGGCAGCAACGATTATGTCATCTTCAAGGAGATTCTCGCCTGTGCCGTTGACTTTCCGCAGGGCTTCGATAAGGATGCCGAGGATCTGGTGCGTCAACTGCTGAAGATCGATCCGCGGGAGCGTCTGGGCGCCCAGGATGAGTTTGGCTACTACGAGAGCATTCGGGCGCATCCCTTCTTCGCCGGCATTGATTGGCAGACGCTGCGCCAGCAGACACCGCCTCCCATCTATCCTTATTTGCCCGGCGTCAGCCAGGACGAGGAGATACGCACCACCAACGGTGGCACCACCAGCTCCTCTGCCTGTCTGCCCATCAGCGGTGATCTCGAACCGGGTCTGGATGAGCGGCAGGTGACGCGACTACTCAGCGCCATGCTGGGAGTGGGCAGCAGCACCGCGGAACCCGCCCACAAGCCCTCGACGGCAAAGAGTAAGTGTGAATCCTCCCCATTGAAAACCCCTTTGAATCACCGACTAATTTGTACTCCTCCATTTAGATTCCTTTGATTTGAGCGATGCACAGAAGCTGCAACGCTTGGAGGCACAAAAGACTGACAAGTGGCACGTGTTCGCCGATGGCGAGGTGATCCTTAAGCGTGGGTTCGTCAACAAGCGCAAGGGTCTCTTTGCCCGCAAGCGGATGCTGCTCCTCACCACTGGACCCCGCCTCATCTACATCGATCCCGTGCAGATGATCAAAAAGGGCGAAATTCCCTGGAGTCCCGAACTGCGCGCCGAGGTCAAGAACTTTAAGATCTTCTTCGTGCACACGGTGAGTGTCTCCTAAAAATCCAAATTAATAATAATTAATTAGTCTATCAAAAATATACCAAATTAGAGGGAACTTTTTGCTGGTCATTGGGTAATTTATTTGTATTGGGTAATTGTCTATTGGGACTTTTGTGGTTGGGGGTTATTTGAAATGAACCGAGTCTGTGGGACTTTTATCGCTTGGGAATATTTATTTGTGTCTAATTGGGATTTGTGGCATATGTTTATATTAGGACTTAAGGGAATTTTAAATTAATGAGCGTATTTTCTGCTGTGGGATATTTAATTATTTGTTTGTTTTGGTGTTTTCATCTGATTTGATGTGGTCAACTCTGTTTTATGTTGTTTTTGTTGTTGGCACTTGACAGTTTGTTGAACTTGAAGCAGCAAAGCCATCAACAAACGATGACGTAATCAGCATCTGTCAAAATAAACCTCCAGCCACAGACACAAATAATTCAATTGGGGGTCCAGTTTATGGCGCCGGCACGTGTTTATGACCCCACGAGGCACAACAATAGCAACTACAACAACAACAGCAACAACAACAGCAACAACAACAGCAACAACAACATAAAACAACAGAAACCACTAAAAAACTAAATTAAATGCGGCATTGAAAACTGCACACGCAACGCAGATAAAAATCACCAAATAGTTTTTAATGACTTTTGGTCACACTTATTCGGCACACACACACACACACACACACACACACTCACACATTTACATGTAAAGCGTTTGTCTTATTTTTCTCTTTCTGTTTTTCTCTTTTTACAGCCGAATCGCACCTATTATTTGGACGATCCCGAAGGCTATGCCATACAGTGGGCGGAGGCCATTGAGAATATGTCGAAATTGAGCTACGGCAGCAGCGATGCAGATTCGACTGGAACGGGAACGGGAACGACTGGAACTGGAACTGGAACGAGCATCTCATCGTTTGCCAGCAGCAATAGTTTGGCGCCCATTTCCTCCTGCACTGCTGCTGCAAACAACTCGAATTCACCCGCCTCCAACAACAGTTCGCCAACAGCGCGGCGCAGTTCGCCTGCGCAGCGGCAAAATCAAATACAACAACAACAACAGCTGGAAGCAACAGCGATAGCAACAACAGCAACAGCTACAACAACAACAACAACATCACCGACAACAGCGCGGGGTAAAAAGACAGCGTCCAACTGAAGAACACGTGTCTCGCCGCTTGTCGCCTTAGATTTAAATGCAAATTAAATTCTAATTTAGTTGAAATTTAGTGCAAAAACAACAAAAACAAAAACACAACTAGAAAACATATACAGATATACACACACACACACTGATATATGTATATATATATATATTTATTTATATATATATATAAATGCAAGAATTGTGTCTAGTGCTAATTCTAAAATTGTTTATAAACACACACAAACACACATGGCATATATCAAATATCAATTTTTTTTTGGTTTGTTGTGTTCAATTCTGTGCATACATATAAAATACATATATATATGTATATATATATATATGTATATATATATTAATATAGAGCAAGTAATAAACGTAAAGCGTAAGTTTGGCAAAGAATAGTTAATATTTAATCAACTAAAATAAATACATTACACATTAATACGTATATTAATATATATATATATAAAAATATATTTAAAAGCTAAATTAAATAGTAACTAAATTAAACTAAATTATTACAACAAAAACAGAAAAAAAATATTTATACCGCAAATTGATAAAATTAATGTGTATGGTCACACTGTGCACAGGCATGCAGGCAGGCAGGCAGACAGATAGTTAGGGCTTAGTCCAATAGATGGCGCCAGCACACACACACACATATATGTATATCTAATTTTTGTTAGCTCGTAGTTAGTCACAATTTAAATGAATAGTAGCCGAAAGAGAGAAAGAGAAGCTATAGCCGCTGGGCACCATCTGGCGGCCAAAACAATTGTACATTACTTGTATGTATATGTAAATGCCTGCCAAAGAAACAACAGTTAGAACGCATTCTCTAGGCTTAAGTACTAAACAAAAAACAAAAAGAAAAAAACAAAAAACAAAACTAAATTCAATTGTATTCAGAAATTATTCAAGTTGAAAGAGCGTAACTAGCAAATTATGTATGTTAAATTGTAAAACTGTAAAACTGTAAAAACTATCTATATATATATCTATATCTATATCTATATTGGGAGTGTGTTTGTCATGTCACCTAACTGTAAATTTGTAAATCGATACATATATAACTATATATATATATATATATAGATATTGTACATTAGCTATATGCGCACGTCTAAAGAAAAATGCCTAAAAAAATAGACAAAAAAAAATCAAACGAATTGTTTAGCAGAAGAAGAGGAAGATGACGGCTGAGGCAGATTGATTTGCGTGTATGGTCCGGCAGAGGGCGCCACTCGCCGTCATTTTCCGAAATTCGCTCAACTTTCTAGTAAGAATTTTTGTATGCTAGTTTTTTGATTTTTACAATTAATTTATAATGCTTTTTTGCCCTATAAAGAAACGTATAAGACTTTGAGAAACTATTTAAAGCAGAGAAGAAAAAAAAAACGAAAACAAGAAAAACATAACAAAATGGAAACAAAACAAACAATTTAAATTAAAAAGAAATATATATATAAATATACTATATACAACAGAATAAAACACCAAATGCATATACAAAAAAAAAAAAAAAAACAAAGGCAAAGTTAAAATATCTGAAACAAAAACAAATAAAAGAAAAAACAAGCTAGAAAAATGGAGTTGAAAAGAGTTGAAATTTAGTTAAAATTACATTTGGCTTTGGCTGTTTTTGTGCAACAGAAGAAATCATTTTTGTATTTGTATTTGTGCTACTTTGTTTGTAACAGTGTAATAATTCTGTAAATTAGTTTTTTTTCTTAGTTTTTGTTCCATTTTTTTTTTTTGCATTTCGCATAAGATTGTAGAGAAAAAGATATAGAAAGAATGAGAGAGGAGAGGAGTGTAAGTTACAGTTAGCTTGAAAAGTTATATATATATATATATATACAGGTATAAAATTGAATTTTAACTAAAAGAAAAACTAAAAACAAAATAATTATGATGATATGTAACATCAGCTATATATGTATATATATACATGTATATATATATATACAAATACATAGATTATGTTCGGCAAGTTTTGTGTTCGTTCATAATTATGGAACAGTTTCTAAAACTCGCGCGTATTAGTTCAATTGTAAAGCCTAAGTTACGCCTAGACCACGCCCCTAATACACACACACACGCATACACACACATACAACACACACTCACACGCCCCCCGCCCCCTTATCTAGTGTTAAGCTACTATGTGAGAAGAAGCAGAAGGAGTTAGCAGAAGATGAAGAATGAAGAAGAATGAAAGAAAGCAAAAAATACATTTGTAAATACATATCGCGTCCCGCATTTTTGGTGGGCGTGGCCGTAGCAGCAATTTAACTATATAGATCACTAAGTTACGCAAGTATACAATTAATTCAATTAAATTAAATCAACTAAATTAAATTGTATAATTTATTAAAAAACAAAAACAAAAAGCAAAAAACAAATGCAAAGAGTTATGTAAGCAGCAACAACTAAATAGTGAGAGAGATACAAACATGTAAATTATTATTACATACATATATATATATATATATACCAATATATATATATATATATATATACATACACACATATATACACCAATATATGCATAAACAACTAAATTGGTCAAAACAAAACAAAAAAAAGAAGAAAATACAAAACAAAAAACAAAAAAGAACGTATCATTAAAAATTAAAAAAATTAAAAAAAGAAAACATTTTCAAAAACAAACAAAATTTAACAAATTTGTTTTTATTTCGCTTTTGGTTAAAACGAATTGGCAATATCAAAAACATTGGAATTGGTTACTCAACTTTAACCCACCCTCAACCCCCATCCCCTCAACCCCCCGCACCCTGAAAAAGAATACACAGAAAACTTACAGAACTTACTAAATAGGTTTCGACAACAACAACTACACTGTAAAAAATATTCAACAAACGAAAAGAAAAGAGAAGAAGAAGAAAATACAAAATACAGTTTAGATTTTCTTGATTTCGACCTTATGTGCTGCAGTACCTTAAGACAAGTCCAACACAGGAGACTTTGCAACCGGAAGACGACGCCAATTTGTAAACCCTACAAAAATATATATACACTCAGATCTATATATATACATATAGATCTGTACACTTCCGACTCATACAACAAACCTTTTTAATCCGAAAATCATTTGTAGCTTTGTTAAGTTTTCTACTAAGAAGCAAAACACCAAAAAAAAAGAATTGAAAAAAAACCGAGCAAAATTTTGAGAAGACTCAAAATAGATGAAAAGTGCCTAGTGATGAACCAGTAGAAGCAGCAACCAAAAAAAGTCGATCTCTCCCCGGTTATACTTCCTATATGTACATACACACACACATATATATATATATATATATATATATATTTTGAAAATCGCCTGGCAATATAAGTATACGATTTGTGTTTAGGAAACTACAATTTTTGATGTTTCTTAGAGGGTAAAATAAAATCAAGGAATTTCTCGTGTTCGATTTTGTGTGTGTGAGTGTGAGTGAGTGTGTGTGTGAGTGTGTGAGTGAGTGTGTGTGTGAGTGTGTGTGAGTGTGTGTGTGAGTGTGTAATTTTAGTTATGGCAAATCTTTAGTGCAAACCTTATCCGTTTAATTAATATACAAGCATAAATATATATATATATATATAGCCAATATTATACGAGTTTATACATACATAAAATACTTATATATATATATATATATATTTGAACATTCCAATTGTATATTGATAAATTCGAGAGCGAATCGATCGTTTTATCCAAAGTTCAATCTCTAGGGGTGCTAGACTGAGTTATTTAAGCCGCAATCGTAACAACTCTTAACGTAAACGTAATTCAATTACTACCTTGCAAAAGTATAAAATACACCAAAAAAAAAAAAAACATAAACAAATAAAATATAAAAATAAAATTAATAAAAAAAACACTAACTCGCAACTTATGTACATATACATATATATACATACATATACATATTTGTATGCATATAAGATGGAAATACTTATATATATGTGTATATATACATACTGAATACTATGAGAACATAAAATACATATGCATAGGCATCTATATCTATATATCCCTATTGCCCTTCAGTCCCTTCTCCCCCCTTAAAGTACTAAACCTAACCTTAAAAATGGTATACATAAAATTACATAACTATATAATACACACACACACACACACTCTCTCACACATCGATACTATATAGGACTATATATTTACATATATAGATTTTAAGCAGAAGACGGTTAAATTATTATCGCATATTTAAGTACGTACGATACATAAATATATATACACACACACACACACACACACACACCAAACACACACACATAGAGTAAGTTCGAAGTCGCCGTTTAAAATTCGACTGCAATGTTGTATTTTTCAGCACGTAAAACAGAGAAAAAGAAAAACTAAAACTAATAAAAAATTGCAAAACAGAAAACAAGAAACAAAAACAAAATACAAAATACAAAAAAACGCAGAGCAAAACAAAAGTTCGTTACATTTCAAAAATTTCCCTTAAAACGCAACCAAACAAATAACTATGAAATATCCTCAAAATCAAAACTAAAAACAAAAAAAAAACGGAAAATGGAACAGTTTGTTAATGAAAATTAAGGTTTGAGATTTGTGTAAAACAGTTGAGCACTAAAAAAGAGTTGAGTGTAAGGCGGTTTGATTGAAAATAAAACAAAAGAAACGTGACGCTAAAGAGAAGAAAAGAAAAGAGAGAATGTACCATGTGTTTGAATTTTTAACGGTTGAGTTCATTTGACTTTCACAGCAGTTAGCTTTCTACACACAGCTGCGTTGTTTGAGCTGAGAGGGAAATTAAATGTTTGGAGACTACATTTGCTTGGAGCGAGACAGGCGTATGTTGTGCTGGAGTTTTATGGCATTGAGCTTTTGTAAGTGAGCAATGAGCGCGCCGTGATTTGAAATTTAAAGTTCGAGGAAAAACGAATTGTGCTTTGCTTTAAATGTCAGTCGAACGCATTTGCTTCAAACAAAATGCATAATTTCAAGCGTCCCAAAGAGTCTCCCGAAAATTGGCCAACGAAATGGATTATATCCCTCATCATTTGTGGCTATTTGACAGGCCTGGGCCTCGTTCTACTCTGGTACGAATGGCATCCGACGGAAAGGAAACAGGATCTAACGCAACTTTGGCTGATCTTCGTCCTTCTGGCGCTGATCTGCACAACGATGCTCTTTAGTCGACCCGTGCGGTGAGCTAAGCCAACTGTTCCCCTTGCCAATCCATCCCTAATATCTGTTCAGTTGCATCCTTGCACTGACGTTACCTTCTCTAAGCAGCTCTCGGGGACGTGCGCTGCTCATCACATTGGCCTGCCTCTTGGCCGGCCTTGGACCCACTGCGAATATCCTGGCTAATTTGATGGCGATGCTGCGCAGCCTCGCCTGTGGCCAGGAGCTGCTGCGTCAGGCAGTTGGCCAGATGCTGGACGTGGCGCTGGAACCAGTGCGTGCCGTCCAATCCGCCATTGAGCTGCTTCTAAACGAGCTGCGTCGTGTCCTGCGACAGATGATGGAGCTGCTGCTGAGACTACAAGGCTATCTACTCATCATTAGTGAGTATAAATCAGTAAACGGCTTGAGTAGCCGATTAAACTACCCTCTGCAGTCGATACTTTAAGGACTTGTGCCGCGTGGCTCAAGTCTGTCGTGGAATTGTGCAACTCGAAGGGGACAACACCGTGGAAACGTTGCCAGCGTTCAGCAGTGGCGGCAATGGCAAAATGTCGCGCCAAGATGGGCATCTTTAGATCCATTTGCCATGCCACAAAGCTCTTCCTGGCGCTCTGTTATCCTGCCAAGCTGGTGGATGTCTTCTGCTCCGGTTTCTGGGATGCAAGCTGGAATATTTTGGATACACTTCTCGAGCGTAAGTTGTGCTCTGTTGTTTTTGCAGGCTTTAAGTGTTATCCTGCAGGATATTACGAGTTTGTTGCTCAGCTCGAGCAAATGTTCGATGTGAGCATCAGTTTTGAGCACGAATTCTACTTCCACACGAACGCCTCGAAGAATCTCTCGGATGTGGGTGAAGAGATTATTGGGGATATCAGCGATCGCCTGGGTCCATTCACGATGCTCCAGGGCTGGCTGGATCTGCTCTGCTGGCTCATGTTGTTCGCCGTACTCATCAAGTAGGCAAGCAATAGCTAATCTTACTATATATATATCTATATATATATGTATTCCCTTAAACAGAGCCATTTATTTCTATCTGCGCTACATGCTCAGCCTTCGCTATCAGAATATTTACTTGATGAGCTCCTTTTATGCTGTCGATAGACAGTGGCAGGCACAGGGACAGCTACCAGTCTTGCCACTCAAGCGTCTGGAGAGGCGCCAATACTTAAAGGTATATATAGGTATATATCGATAAATATCGATCACTAAAAATGTCCTCTTTTCTGCTTTGCGTCTGATAAACTTCAAGCTCATTTTCCACACATCATTAATTATTTTCAATCGGCTTTAGTAACACATATGTATAGTATAGTATAGTATATAGTATCCATATAGTTTAATTCCCGATTCTTAAGCTGACCAGTCTGCGTCTAACTGGCTATGAGTGCCTGATGCTGGTGGAGAATGCCTTCTTTATGAGCGTCACCTGTGTGCAGCTGGGCAGCATTTGTTTGGTGGACTACAGTCTCTTCTGGCTGCTGGACACCATTGCGTTTTATGGCGAGCAGCAGGACGAACTGGAGATCCCAGCCTATGTCGATGTGGAGGTCGAAGGCGGTGGCTTTGTGGGCGATATTATGAGAGGCATTGTTCAGGCCTTTCGACCAATTACCCAGAAAACCACATTGGACACGAAAGCCTGCCTGCCGCAGCCGATGGAGCCCAACTATGGAAACTATATAAAGATACTGATCATTTGCCTGGTTGCCTGGCTGATCCTGCTGACTGAGCCATATATGCTGCGATTGCGTCATCTAATCATGCAGCGATTCTATCCGGAAAGGGCCTTCGAGCGTGCTCTGTACTTGCATCAGCGAATCCTCAAGGAGAGAGGTAGAAACTGTCTTTTTCTTGAGTTGGTATCAATGGTATCAATTCATTTAATGTGCCCTTCTCTTCGCAGATAGCTTCTTGAAGTCTGCTCGTCGCAGGGCAAGAGCTGTTTTTCGATATCAACAGGCGAATAGTCCAAATAGCTGCCTGAGCTGGCTAATAGCCAAGCTGTGTTGGTTTGTATAATGGTACAGTGATCACTCGAGAAGCTATAGTTTCAATGAAGTACTTTAGCTGAAGTCAGCTCTGTTCAATTTCTCGAGCGATCACTGTAGCTGGCCAGCACAGACGACTTAACAAGCTGCTTCTGCAGGTGCTATTGCTGTCTCTGTCTAATGGAAGGACCACGCGGAGATGTTTGCATACTGTGCGCCAAGCGGCTCAGCTCGTTAGTTTTCCCGATACACAAATGCCAATCAGTCAACCGTTTCACTACAGGATTGCTATTTCAGCTCGAGCCGGATCAGGTGCGATACCGAGGGTTGCCAGGGACTCTACTGCGAGGTGTGCTACAGTAAATCGAAGAACAACTGCTGCCTCTGCAAGCGACCCATTGATTATGGCGATGTCAGCGACATCTCTGAGGTTCAGTAAGCATCAGCTTGACATCCATCAGCGGGTCAAAGTAATCTAACCAGCTGCCCTGCAGGGACTCCTCGGATGATCCTGAGGCGGTTTCGTTTACACAACTTCAGGCTAGTCCCTGCGGCGGCAACTATCGGAAGCAGGAGCATAAAAAGGAAACCTAAACGGGATAACCTATGAACTCCTTTAAGCTTATCTGAACTATGAATAATAAAGTGACTAATAGACTCTGTTCTTAGTTGTCCTGAGTTTTACTTCACATAGTCGATTGTAAATTTATTACAGAACTTTATTTTCAAGTCGATGCACATCAGAAGAGTTTAAATAATGCCAATCTATAAGAGTATTAGCGCTGAATCCTTGGCATCCTCGACATCCTCAGCTGGGGATGCGTCGAAACGGGAGCACGCTGGACGGGAAAAGGCGGCGAAAAGAGCCGAGTACACCAACGATGAGATTAGCATTGATGAGGAGATGGAGAATGAGATCTATCAACTAAAGCCACAGAAGCCAATCGATCCCAAAATGGATGCCAAAGTGAGGAGTTATTACTACGGCAAGCGGCGTAGTCAAAGGATGCGAAGAGTCAAAATTAAAAGTAGAATCGACGAGGGGCCAGCAACCATTTATCCTGAAGAATCTGAGTCACCTGCTGCTGGCTCTCGCATGGATGTCAAGCTAACAGCTGTCGACAAACTCTTCATCTGCGACTATCTAATGATCTACTTAATTCTCGGCTACATACTGGGCATATTTCTGGTGCTCTTGTGGTATCTCTTCAATAAGCTCCTTTTCCATAAGGCCTCCAGCGATCTGAGCTTGTATTGGTTGCTCATTGTGCTGCTCGTGCTGCTGCTACTCATTGTTTTGTACAACCGGACGACGAGGTGAGTGAGCGATTAACTTTTGTGACTTCTGATCAAATAACTTCATTTGCAGATCCATTGGGGCTTTATGGGTGCCCCTAGTTGCCGGCTGTAGGGGACAGGTGCTGATCATCGCCATTGCCTTTGTGTTGGCTGTGGCAGGACCCATGATGAACATCATTCGCAATGTGGAGATCATGGTGTACACGCTCTCCTGTGGCCAGACGCTGCTGAGGAATGCTCTAACGCCAATGCACGAGATAATGGGCCAACCCGTCTATGCCATCGAGGATGCCGTCTACTATTGTTTGAGTCAAGTGCGCAGGATCATGCAGCGTTTGGATGTGGCACTGAGGCATCTCGAGACGCCAATTCTTAGAATGCGTAAGTTTGAGTGAGCTGTGAGCTGCTCTCAATCTGAATATTGTTCCCTGTGTGTAGATGCTGGCTATCAAAGCTGCGATGCTTGGCTGCAACATCAGCAGAGTTGGTTTGACACTCAAATGGGTTCGCCTTATGATCGATGCTTGGGCGCCGGCACTCTCAGCATACAGGAGTGTGAGTACAAGTTCAAGGATCAAAGGAAGGCCATTTGTAATATTAGCAATCGATTCGAGTGGTTCTGTGCCAATCTGAAGGCGTTGCCGAGCTTCTTTGACACCCACTTAAAGGAGCAGCAGGCTGTTGTCGATCACATCTTCAAGAGTACCATTTATGCGAATAATAATTACAATTTGTAATTAATATTTATCTACTAGCAGCACCCATGCAGAGCACTGCCCAAATCCGTGGCTTGTTTGAGGTTAGCATCACATTCGATCACAACACAAGTTCCAGCGATGATCGCCATCATTTGAGCAACGAACTCGAACTGGAAATGGACAAAGAGTTGCAGCTGCACATGAAACATTTGCAATTCACATTCATCTGGTTGGAGTTTGTGATCCTCCTGCTGATTGTACTCATCATTCTGCGTTCGATCTATTATCGCTGGAGCTATTTGGGCAGCGCCAACTTTAATAATGTTTATTTAACGAGCCAATTCACCAAGTTCAATAATAGAATGCAACTCAAATATGGCAATAATGATCTGCCCATGATTGCCCTCAAGGCGAAGAAATATGGATTTGTATAAAGCGAAATTTCATTTTACTTTCCTTTTCTTACAAAGTTTTTCTCTTTACTTTTGTCAGCTGGGTTCCTGCCGCATCTTGCCCTCTGAGCTGAGTTATATGTTTCGATCTGTGATGTTCCTGATTATAGCCAGCTTACAGCTATTCACCATTTGTTTTGTGGACCATTGTCTCTACTCGATGTTGGCCATGATGGCCTATCAATCCCATCAGACAGCAGAGCTTCAGCGTAAGTTGGATATCACTCCGTGACTTAGACTACCTAATACTATATAATGATTCCAGCTCCGGTTTATACAAAGCTGATTATTAAGAATGGTGGTTTTATCAGTGGCGTATTACGTAATTTGACCACAGCCTTTGAGCCACTCACGAAGAATCTGATCGTTGACATTCAACGCTGCTTTCCTTTGCCCAGTTTCCCCAACTATTTTCACTATTTCCATATAATTGTGCTATGCATGCTGGCTTGGCTCCTGGTGCTCCTGGAGCCATTCAGCATCCGACTGCGCCATCGAATGCTGGACGCAATGTATCAGAGAAATGCCGAGCAGCGTGCCGCATTCCTGTTTCGCCATCTTCAGATTCGTAAAGGTGGATTTACTAGACTTGTATTACCTTGTATTACCATGAACCCATTTAAAATGGGTTAAAGGGAGAAGGAAGCAACTCCGACCCCATAAAGCACATATATTCTTGATCAGGGTCAACAGCCGAGTCGATATAGCCAAGTCCGTTCGTCCGTTCGTCCATCTGTCTGGCTATAAGAGCTAGAGACTAGAGACCCGGCGCAGATCAAGTTTGCTTTATTTGATCGATAACTATCGATATAGTTAAACTTCCGATAGCAATAAATGCTACAATTTCCAAGGCGGAATCTTCTTATTAATACGTAATATGCATTTGCATATTATTGATCAACTGCCAAAATTTCATCAAGATCGGATAAGAAAGACCCGAGTCGAGCGCACTCGACTACAGCACTCTTACTTGTCTTATATGATATTATTTCAGACAGCTTTATAAAGCCGGCCAGAAGACGAGCCCGTTCCCAGAATATCTATGCATATGAAAATAGAATCTCCAAGGTGCTGACACAGTGCTCTTCGTGTTTATACAGGTGGGTTAATTGATATAGTAATAATTACACTAACTAATATTGTGAGCCAGGTTGTCCTATGGCTGTTTAGGCGCCTATCGGGGCAAATATTGCACTATATGCAATATGTCGCTGACCAAGTAAGAGTTTAACTCTCTTTTATATGCCAAAATTTGATGAAAAGTTTGGGTTTTCCAGAGATGATTGCGTCGCTTGCGATACGAAAGGCTGTCGAGGTGTCTACTGTCAGTCGTGCTTCCTGGAATCGAATTGCCAATGTGTTTTATGTAATCCCCGGGTTAGATATGGTGATTCGAGCGATATCAGCGATGTTGGGTAAGCATTTGGTTGGCATTTGAAGCACTCTTTATAAGGATATTTACACTTTGCAGTGACTCATCCGATGAACCGCAAAGTCAACCCTTTCGCGAGGATGGCAATTATTGTTCCGCTAAAAAACATGAAGGAAAACAATATTAAATAATTTTTATGAATAATAATTTGTTGTTTATTTTGCTTGTTGTTGCATAGTGTAAACAGCTACCATTCTCGGAGCCGGCGTTCCATTTCTTTTTGCACCTTTCACCCAGTTCAAGATCTTACTTGGCCTTACTTGGCGCTGAGAATCTCAGCGATTCTGATGAATCGCAGCTTTTATTGGTAAAAATGACATTGCGTCTGCCTCATCATCTTCTGGTTGACTTTGTCGTTGCCATATCAGCTACTGTTTGCTCGTTTGTCTCCTTCTCATCTCCCCTCTCTCTCTCTCTCTCTCTCTCACTCAAGATGACGAGGAAGACGCCAAAGACCAGAAGGAGGCTGATAATGACCGTCTTTTGTCGTCGTCCATTGGGCAATAACACTTTGTTTTCAATTTGTGCAACGGCCTCCAATCTGCCTCCGGCCTTCGCTGTTGCCTGGGATACACTTGGAAAACTTTCGAAATTACCATTAGAAGTGTGGCCTTTTTAAAAACTGTGATTAACATTACCAAGTCAACAAGTTAGATTTTATAAAGCTCAAAATCCAGGCTATTATTGGAATGCGTGTAGAGAATCCCATAGAAAACCACAGCAGATTTTTAGGAATTTGAAAAAGAAAACTGTTCCCACTTTAAGAAATTTGTTTCTTATAAACATAAAGAATTTTTAAGAATTAAATTTAATTAATATTTCTCAACCAAAATCGATTATGATTGTTACCCGAGCGATACTAGTTTGATGCAACTATTTTAAGGCCGTCGAACGTAAGTATTTCTCTGAGTGTAGTCACATTGTGGTCATTGTTTGGCGCACATGTGGGCTGCAATTAAATGTTCATTAAATGCGACATCCACGACAAGCCTGAGATTGTTTCTCAACAATTAATGCAGCTGTGTTTAGCTGGACAAGGATTGGTCTTCTACTGCTGGGGCCGTCGCGGTCGCCACTGATGATGACATCCCAGCGTCGTTTTGGTTTTAGGTTTGGTTTGGTTTGGTTTCCTCTCCTCTCCTGTCCTCTGCTCGAGCCTGAAGAATGTGCTGTGTAATTTACAGCCATCGTTTACTTATGCGTGTGTTTGTGTGGTCCCTCGAACCCGTACCCCGATGGTCAACCAGCTTGTTTATTTATGAGCCACAAATTTTGACAGTTATTTCTATTTGTTGAATGTGCCCAAAAACTGTAACACGCTTTGTACCTTTACCTGGGGGTCGCAACCTTTTGATCAGGGTTCATTTTCCATCTTTCTTTCTTTTCTTGTCTTTTATGGCTGTTTAATAAATTCTCTGTGTTTTCATTGCCTCTTTCATCTCGTATGCTAATGTGTGCACAAGTGTTTATTTGTTATTTAACACCCGTTTTCCCCCAGAGTTCGAGAAACCACACAATGACCACCACCATCGTCGGGCAGTCGGTTGACATTTAAACCACACTCACAAACAACTGCCAGACACTCAAAAGATCAGAGCTCAAAAGAGGCAGATAGACAGAGCCAGAGGAGAGAGAGAGAGAGAGAGAGAGAGAGAGAGAGAGAGAGAGAGAGGGGTCATCATATTTGCCGAATCGCCTTAAATACCGTGTACTCATCAATAATGACTAAAAGGGGATAATGACTAAAGGAATAAAGTGAAATAAATTACTCTCCTTTGAATTTTGGAACTATTTCTCTTGATAAAATGTTAAGTGAATGCTTTAACATTTGCTGGAACTATCTAAGTGGTATCTTCTAGTCGTTCACTCCCGATTAGAGCACTCTTGTTTGAAATTGGTTGCGGAGCACAGCTTAGTTGATCAGTTTGGTCTTCAGTTACCTGTTTCGATGCAGTAATTTGAGCTGTTGCTGCGGAACTGATCAACCATCAACCGATCCAATTCCAGGCCGTTATATATATATATATATATATATAAGTAGAGGGGTGTAAATAAGTAGCGGCAAGTTTGCAGAGGTTTCATCAGTTTTGAGCTTTGTCTGCGTCCTTTGAACCACAGAGTTGGATGACCTTTTCGGTTTTGGTTTCATGTATTCCTCACTTGTTGAGTCGTTATTTGAGCAGGGATTCTCATTGTAAAGTTGCCCGAATGAATCGATAACTCAGCTTGAGGTAGATATATATGATTTCTAAGTGAACAAAATATATTTCTTTATTTATAAGTCTCATTTCAAAGTACTACATTCTAATAATATTATGAATCGATTCCTAACTTATTCAAAAACCTTTCTGTCATTATTAAGTTGCCAACCAATTTACTTAGTCTTCGTGCTTCTTCTTATTCGGATAACCAAAGAATCCAATGCTCTTCAGCTCAATAAACAATTCCTGATCATTTCCAATGGCTCTGTAAATGGCCTTCTCCATTTCGTCATACTGGAAATGTGGTGAAAAAGGCATATCATTGATGGCCTGGAACAGGGTATTGCCACGTTCGTTGCCCACGACCAGAACGGTGCCGCTGTTGGAGAATCTACAAAGGATAACACATTAAACAGGAGCAGTTACAAGTTATGCCAATTTTGTCGCTTACTGGGCAATTGTGTTGAAGGAGGAGTCCGTGGTTTGTTTGCCCATTGGCTTTAGGATGTTACGCCGCAGATCCCAGATGCTGCAGGCACTTCGATTTACAGTTATGATAACTGTTGAGTGCGTGTAGCTCCATTTGGCCCAGTGTATGGGCTGAAAGTCATCCAGCAGTTCGATCAGGGGTCGAGTAATGCCATCCACCCAGATGCGCACATACCTGCAAAACACATTCAACTAGCACTGTTAATTGAAAGGGGTAGGTTTGATGGGGTTACCAATCGTTGCCGCAGGTGAGAAATAGCTTGGGCGACCAAGGTGAGAACTCCATGACATTGACACCGCCATCATGACACTTGAGCACCTCCAGATACTGATGCTGATAGTTGATGGAGCACTTGTGAATGCAACCCTCGTCGGTCAGTATATAATAGATATCCTTCTGCACCGGATGGATGGTTATATACAAACCCTGTGGATGCCTATTGGCGGCCACAGTTGTCGTCGTTGCTATCGGCACCCGTATGCCCTCGGGCTGACCCTCGATGCGCTCGAGCGTCATCTGTGTGAACCGCAACAGATACGGACTTTTGCCGATGCGAAACCGTGTCACGGAACCATCCTGCAACAGGCAGAGAAACGGATCAATTTCGTTGCTATCCTTCTGCTCCTGTTTGAGCCAACGTATCGCAATAACCGGTGCACAACTGGGCGAGCTGCTCCGCTGAGAGACAGCAATGGGCATATTCGTTATATCGGCCACATTGCGCACCTCAACACTGCCATCGTACAACCCGATCGCAATCAGCGTTGGCAGATAGGGGGAGAAACAGACTGCAGTCACGGGCTGATTGTAGTAATAGGTTCGTTCCGGTTCACCCGGATTCTTAATGCTCCACACGTATACCTCGCCAGTGACGGGCACTTGCTGTGACGAGAAGGAGAACAGACCGTAGCCAATGGCCAGAATGTCACTGTTGCTCGTACAGAAACTGATGTCGCTGACCGCCTTGCGCTCCTCCCTGCTGGGTGCCGGTATCAATCTGAATAGAAGCTTCATCGAGTACTTGTATTGCACTGTCAGGGAGCATCGATGAACCTCATTAAAGTTGCGAAAACGTTGCATGCCGTGATCAAATTGATTACTGGACAGAGTGCGTCCAATGATTCGGGTGGCTTGTATAAACTCTGGTTTTCTAAATAGCTCGAGGATCATCGAACGCAACTTGCCACGTTCCTTGGCCTCATCATCGTCCATGGCACTCGTGCCGCCGTCACTCATGCGAGGTGTTGGTGCCTCATCCGCCGGCTTGGTCAAGCTGTGCATGGTGAGTTGAACATTTGGTTTTTGGCCAACGCCCTGCATTGTGTCATACATCTCAAAGTTGGACACATATGATCCCACCGTGGCATAGTCCACAACTATTGTGTTCATCGCTCGGGTGTTCGTAAGAACCAAATTCGTCTGGGCATCGTTGTCGGCCCGACGACGCACCTTACCCTTGCCAACAGTCAGATACTCATAGAGCTTGTTGTCTGCCTCGACAACATCGCCTTGGCTGGTGCCCTTTGCCACCGTGTTGCTGACCTGTGAGTGCAATACGACAAAAATCGATTTACGCAGCGTGACCTTTACAAAGGACTTCTTGTAGGGCACCGGAATGTGTACTTCTTCCACTTTCTGGACCGTAGCTGGTTCAAATGTGATCGTTTCGTATGTTATCTATTTGGGGGATGGAGCCAGGAATTGCGCATGAGATGAGTGCTTTTAGTGAAGATTCAAATTGGGTGTCTGACATACCCCATTGATGATCTCATCGATCGACTGCTTGTTGCCACCGATTCCTCCTCGCATGCTGGACCGTGTTTTGGATCGGATTGAGCTGTTTCTGGTGTGAAAATCGGGCAAATTGCTGATTTCATTCGCTAGCTGCAAGTTGAGTCTAAAGAACTTTTCCTTTTGCGGTAAATCTGGTATACAGTTGGGCGTCAGATCGACCTCCTGCTCATCAATGGTCTCCAGCACCTAAGGAGCGACAGAGAAGTGATTTAGTTAACAATGTATTTGGATTTCCGATGATGTTTTACGCAGTTTACCCGGAACTGCATGCGATGCTGGATCTCTGTATCTATTTCCTGGCCATAGTAGTGTGTGCTTGTGCGTGGTTTCTCCTTCACCGCAGTTGACTCTTCGAGTAAATCAAGAGCGACCGCCACTGATTTCTTTTGTATAGATTTACGCTCGGCATCGCTGTCTTTTCTCATGCTCGATGTGGGCTCCATCTTTGGATTAGTTAGAGTTCTTGCCCTTTGTATTTGTGACTTGGCAAATAAATAACACTTAAAGTTTTGTTTCAATGAAAACCTGATATTATTAAGTACAAATAACTTGTGAAATGTTCCCAGGATTAATGGAATAATTGGTCCATATGCATAGAGCTTCCTTCGCTTTTGGGTAATCATTTCACACAGCTGTTCTTATCAGTCCCCATTTAATTAGTGCCATGAATGCTGCCCATTTTGAATGAGATCCCCAGCTCAGTCCCAGTTCGTTAGTGCCTTTTTGGCTTTGGACTGCTGCACGAATCCCAGAATCCTTGTGAATTTCCCCTCGCTCTCGTTTCGTTAGATAAAAAGCCAGATAAAGTTAACACGTCTAACGAAACCACCACCCAGATGCGAAGGACGCTGTTCGCAATGCGTTTCAGTAACAGTTGAACTCGCAGCCCGTGCGAACGTTGCGTTACTATATATATATATATATATATATAGATATATATAGATATATATCCGGCAAACCGAAAGCCCGGCGTAATTTCAATGTGCTTGCGACAAAACGTTCGCAGCAAAAAGTGAATTTGCATGCGATGTATCTTTGAGATACACGCTGGCCAGTGTATCTGGTATCTGTTTTCTCAACTAATTGATTTGGTGTTAGACATAAGATAAATTGCCAACGCAATCCCAAATATCAAATAGTCAAACAGCTAATTACGAGCATGTCAGTTACACAACAACAACAAGCACTCGAAACGGCATTGCCTTCAATGGACAACTGCCAAAGTGAAAACCGAGTACCAGAAAACTCAATTAGGAATGTTGCAAAAACACAGACATCGCCATCGCCATCGCCAACAGCGTCGTCGTTGTCGTTGGCGCTGAATAAACCACAACCAGCTTTGGCAACGACTACGGCTTCAGCTTCAGGTCTGTCGAAGCAGACGCAGTACGTCATAAATTCAGTGGCAATGCATGCGAAGGCGACCACCGCGGGAATCATCACCGGCAACACTCTGCATCTGCATCGAGAGAAAAGTGCGCAGGTACGTGAAATGTGACGTTAATTGAAAGTTAACCAGCTCACCGCGAAATCTGCAGTGAATATACATATCCAGTATTGTATAGCTAAGATATATATATATATAGATGTGCATCTATTCGTTAGACATACTGACAGATACGAGATGGGCTCGAGAGGAAATAGCTAATTGGGATAGGAAGTGGACTAGTTGTAGGTATAAATAGCTGGAAAGATTTACTATATATAATACATAGCATACAGATATTGTATTTGTAGCTAGTACTCCAACTTTTAAGTATATTTTTGTGTAATATATTTAATTTAATAAAAAATAGTATACATATATTAAATCCTTTCCAGTATTTTGATAGTTTGGCTATCTAGTTAATCTATAACTTAATATTTCACTGGTACTGAAGCTAGAAAGCCATTTAATGAAAAGAAAGTTGTTTTGTTCTTAGAAAAACCCAAAAAACCCCTAAGTCTTTCAGACAGTAGTTGTTCTTTTTTATCTAATTAATTTTTAACTGCATGTTTGGCTGGTAGCAATTTGTTTTGTTATCTTTTTTTTTAACTCCTTATCGCAAGTGAATAAATATGGATTTATTTATAGAAGAGCTGGAAACAGCTGGTATACAACAACAAATAATTGTTACCAATATTTATCGTATATCCGTAAGATACTTTTAATATACGATAGCAATGCTGAATTTCATATCCATATTTGCATATCTGAAAACTGTGCAGATTTGCATAAAGAACACACCAAGCCGCCCTCTCATTCTGTGAAGCCCAATGCAGCGAGGACATTGTGAGAGTGAACACCAAAAGCGAGTACAGACATCGTATATAGATACATGTACATGTGTGTGTGTGTGTGTGTGTGTGTATCTATAGATAGAGATGGATATACATATATATATATATATAGCCATAGTGCAGGGTGCGTAACGTAAATTTGTGAATGTTGCGTTGCTTTTTTTCTCCTGTTACTCAATTGTTTTTTTGCCGGCATCAACGAGCATCGTCGTCGTCGTCGTCGTGTCTGTCCTTTTGCTGTTGCTATCCCGTTCCCGGCTAGGCTCAATGGAGCTCGCCGCATGCGTGTTAGCCAGCGCTGCTGCTGCAGATGTGGCAGGCGAAGCGTCGTCATAGCCATGTTATGTAAACATTGTCTGGAGTATGGCCAAGGTGGCTGCGACGAGTGCTGATGACGAAAGCAAGCGACGTAGCCGATCCGAACAACGACGCAGTTGCCCCATGAAGCAGATGGAGGAGGAGGAGGAGGCGGTTGAGGTTTTTGCTTGATGATGGCCATGATTGCTGCTGCTGCCACTGCTGCTGCTCCTTGTTCAGCTTTTGTTACTTCTGCCTTGGCTGCTGTCAAAGTCACGTCATTCATCAGATGCGCTCTGATGCGAAATAAATTTGTTGACGCCATTCAAAGCGAATATCTTTTGATACACTCACAAAAAAAATGTATGCTAGAAATTTGTAAAGTTCTCAATCAATTCTAAAACCCGTTTCAATATTGTTGCAGAATGTGTACTTAAAAATAGAAAATATTTCGCAAATTATTAAAAAATTAAATCAATTTGCAACTAGTTAATTAAAGGGAGGCTTTGCAACTTTTATTATATGTTTTGTTTATTAACAAAATATCAAAAAATCATTTATTAAATGTAGTCTTTATTCTGTTTTAGAGCTTGGTCATATGTTAGACAGCTTTAGAGTTGTGTGTATGTTTTGTGGTTTATGTGGGTGTCTGCCTGGTTGGGTGGTCTCTGTTAGCCAACAAATCAACAATTTGCATTTGGCCACTTTGAGTCGAGTTGCACTTGAATGTGCCGCATAGCTAATGTATGGGCTGGAAGTTATGCCACAAAGCATACACTATCTTTAGTGGTTATGTTAAGGTCTCTGTGCCTCTGCAGACTTTACTTGCTTGGGTAAAGAAATACCTTTTCATTTGTTGAAGGCATTTTCCTTTATACTTTAAAGTTTTTCCTGACATCAGCCCACAGGGCTTTGGTGGTGGTTTTTCAGAGTCTTGTTTATGTTTGCTTTCAATTTTATCCCTGACATCGTTTGCATCCTTTTGTTTGGGCTTTCGATTGTGATTTTTTTATACACATGTACGTTTAGTTTCGTGTCCTGTGTGGGTGGGTGGTTGGGCTGGTGCCTGGGCTGTATGCTTGCCATCGTCCTTGCCCGGTTGCGTGTCCTGCCACCCGACAGCCTTGCACTTGCCCGCAATTGAACTTCAACTTGGGGGTTGTTCCGACTAAACGGAACTCCATCCTAAAACCCTCGCTTCCATTCAGCGTTTGGCATCCCTTTTGCTGAATTTATCTGAGAGCGGACTCTCGTTACTCTCTCTCTCTCTGGTTACCTCTCTCTCTCTCTCTCTCTCTCTTATCTCTTGTGTAGGTTGGCTGATTTTGCCCTTTGCCTTTTTGCCTTGGCCAGAGTTGGTTATCCTTCTGGGCTGCTTCGTCTTTCATCTCGCACTTTGTGTTTGTTTTGCCTCAGCACCATCTCGAGGGGTTAATCAACCTTCTTCAAGTTGTAGCTGTAGCTTGCTAAATATGTTGAGATGCTCGCAGTTTTAGTTATGTTCCAAGTATAATGAACAACACAATTGAATTTACGAGCTGTACTTGTCTTCTGAGAATATAGCAAGTTAGTTTGAGGCAGGATTTATGGCCCTACTTGTTACACAGCACGTGACCCAAGCTTGACAATCCTGTTTGCGATTTAAAGTATATTTTTTCGATGGTATAATTTTACTCGTAATACAAGTCAGAATCGGGATTTCAATTTCGAAGATAGTTTTATTGTAGAGTTCCATTATCAAACTGATTTGGTATTTTAAAATCTGAGAATCGATTCAGTTTTGACAAAGTTGAGCAATGAAACTCTGGAAAATAATATTGACAAAATGTCAATGAAAGCCCCAAAAACTTGTGTTTATATGCAAGTCATTAAATTAATCCAACAATCAATCATCTATTATCTGTTTGATGTCAATATAGTCACTTAATGCACACAGCTACTGATATATTCAAGAGTATTTATATAGACAGATTTGTGATTTACGAGTGGCCCAATGTCAAAAATTGAAATTGAAAATGTTGTGTGTGCAAAGTCAACTGATGAATGCAGTTTGTTTGCTGTTTTGGTTGTGGCTGCGGACGGTCATTGAGCTTCGAGTGGAAACCCATTGCAAATAATCCAAAATCCACTTGAGACGGGCAAAATTGTGCATTGCAAACATTTTGGGGGTCGTAAAATGGAAATGCATGTAAGCAGATTTTTGCAGTTTTTGGCATCACCACCAACAGTGGCAGTTGTGGCCAGCAGCTGCCCACTCTCCCCACTGCACCACTGCACCACAGCAACGCTGCACCACTCAGGCAGTGGCGCTAATGGAAGTCAGCGACGCGTCGCTCTCAGCTGCTTGGCGCCAACATATTTTGCTGTCGCATTGAAATTATGAGCGTTGCCTGCGAAATTTGCATAAACTCAACCAAACAACAAAAAAAAAAGAACAAGAAAAAATACAAAAATAAAAAACATATCTTGGAGAATGCAACGGCGAAGTGGAAAGAAAGTGGAAAGCGCATGCTGAAGAATTTATGTGTACGTGTTTGGAAATTCCTTAATTCATAGATAGAAAATGGGATGTACATACATATGTATGTAGTTACCTGCCGGCTTTTCCTTTGGCGACACAACAACTACAACAACAGCAACAGTTTTCCTCACGTCATGTGAAACTTCTTGGCCGAAAACAAACGAAAATATTTTGATGTTAATTACGTGTGGCACATTCAAGAATTTTTGTGTGCCGACAACATTTGATTACATAATTTTTTGTTTTTCGGGAAAAACTGTGTTTTTCTCTCAAGGAGCTGCGCCTGGAGACGTCGTCAGCGCACATTGAAGACAGCTGCCATAAATTTTGCTGCTGCTGGACGGGGCGGAAACTTGGATGCGCCGCTAATCAACGCTGTCAAGC